AAAGCGCTCAAGGAAGGTAATCTTAGCCTTAATCTGAAATGTCTAGCCAAAGCCTGAGCTTATGCAGGAGAATTCATCTGAGGAACCCCAAAGGAAATGGGGTGTGGGCACATTTTAAGTGTGCATTTGCACCCCAGCAGACCCACCCTGTCACTGCTTCCCCAGAATGAAGATGACGGTTGTGCAAGGACTCAGAAACTAACGAGAGCCACCTGCTATTCGTGCCTCTGACATCCAAGACAGACCGCTCTAAACCGCTACTCGACTTCCTCCAGTCACTTGACAAACAGAAAAACAGGCAGGCAAAACAGTTTGATATAAAAGAGGAAATTCCAGCTGGGTTATACAATGGAAATGACTGTGGGGCAACACGGAAGCGGCGAAGCCATTTCAGGAATTCATGTAATCTCCTGCTAATATCAGGGCTGAGGGGTGGGGTTTCTATCAATCTTAAACAAGAGCTCCAGAAGCCCACATGTAGCCAGAGGAAGCGGTCAGAGCCTTTAAGAGTGTGATGAGCATCCCACACATATTCACACTGCGGGGGGCATGGATTCACGCATGGCCGGCATGAATGGAGCATACTTCTACAACACGAAAATCACAGGCACATGCATATGTGAACTGCAATGACAGGGTACTGCCTTGAGAAAAATAGGAAAGTTTGGAACTTGGAGGTAATTGTGCTTTCTTTAGCTCGTTCTTCTGAAATGCAGATTGCAGCACTGAAGAATGCAGAACATCTGTCCAGAATTAAAAACGAGGCTTCAGCTTCTTCTCGTTATTTTGTGAAACACAGCTTATGGCACAGCCTAAGACCCATTTAAACCCTGTTCTGTGAACTTGATGAATCAGGTTCAGTTAAAAAAGGAAAAAAAACAAAAAACAAAGAGTGAGATATATAATTGTTTAAGGAGCGCTACAGCCCTACTGCTTGTAAGCGTGTGCGCATGAGTCCATAGCTTTAGCAAGTCCAGGCCTCCTCCCTGCTCCTCTCCGATGCAGTTACACTGGACTACATTCTACAGAGGAACATTCTGTATTAGCAGCACATGCAAAAGGAAGCTGATGGCAGCTGGTAAACCATGAATAAGCAGTAACTCAAATGAAGCTTCTTTCATAATGTTGGTTGTTGTAATGACAAAGCATCGCCTGTTCTCCCCCACCCCACCCGCCGAAGTCTGAATCATAGCTCGCAATGTTAGCGGCGACCAGAGCGGCAGCTGCCTCTCCCAACACAGCAAAGGAATCAAAAGTTTTGATTTGACTCAATCATGCTTTTAATACTGTGCCATGGGTAAATCAGACTTAATGAGAATGTCTCAGTTCAAATTAATGTAAAACAATGAAAAATCTACACTAGGATGATTCCGCAACATGGCGAATGACTCAGCCAAAATTACTTCCTGACTGAGTGCAACTGATTTGCCGAGAGTATGTAGTAATGCGACTGAAAATGACACAAAGCTATATAGATATATACACACACATTACCATTTAATAGTTTGGGGTTAGTAAGATGTTTATGAAAAATCTCAATGCTCACCAAGGCTGCACACATTTGATCAAACATACAGTAAAAACAATGACACTGAAATATTACCATTTCAATAATATATTTTGAAATGTAATTTATTCCTGTGATGGCAAAGCTTCATTTTCAGCAGTCATAATTATAGTCTTCAGTGGTCATTCAGAAATTAATCTAATACGCTGATTTGTAGCTCTAGAAACATTACTTACAGCTGGTTAATATTTTTGAGCAAACATTTGTTTTGTAACATTATAAATGTCTTTATGGTCACGTTTGGTCAATTTAATGCATCCTTGCTATATTACGTATTCATTTCTTTCAAAATTTAAAAAAAAACTTACTGACCCCAAACTTCAGAGCTATATATTACAAAGTTAATATGTTTTATATTTCAGTTAAATAGCTAAAATATATATGTGTGTGAAACCTATAGCCCGTCTAGTGCTTACCTAAGGACTAATTATTTCCTTAGGAAACACTGATGGAATTATATTCAACAGGTTCATTCCTGCAGCTTGCCCTCCCGCCCTCTCTCTGTCTCTCACCCTTTCCATTGCGCTTTTTGCAGTTATTTCCATTGGTCAAGTCTCTGTGCCATGCATTCTTGGGATGCCTGGTACATATGGTATAAATTCCATTCTGTCTGCAGAGGCCCTCCATGCTGGCTGAGATACGCCGTTCTGGACTGACTCCACCCTCCCACAGAGCTGGGCCAGCTCACACTCTGTACTGCTGAGGTGAACTAGCTTGGCTGCCTTAAAAGAGAGAAAGAGACAGAGAAATAGCCCACATGTGAAGTCAACAGGTTTTAAACAAACCCGTTTTTCCCTGTATAGAATGAATGAGCTCGAGTTCGGGGCATCGTATGTGTGCGCCGCCTTGTATGTCGAGGACAGAAATTCAATGAAGAACAATAGCACAAAACCCCAAACTGGGTCACTTACATGGCGGTGTAGAGCACAAAGCCTGCAGCCCATTTAATCAAAGGGAGATTATACAGGTCCCTCAGGGTAGACAGCAGAAGCAAACTCACTCTAGAAGTCTGCAAGTCTCTGACAGTGCCGAATCATCGTAGCGAAAAGGTATTGCAAGGAATCTAACTGCGTAACTTTACTCTGGATGAAAATGTGGACAGAAGCTCTGCAGGCTCACTTCCTGAAACCTCGTGGCATAAACCGCCTGAGCGTCCAGCATTTGGTCCCACAGGACTGCGGGGCTGCACAGACGGGAAGCTCCGCTGTCCTTGAGACAACAGCAGGCCTTCTTCTGAGATCCTCCCCTCCCACACTCAAGACAACTACAGCCACCTGCCAAACAGGCAAATCACTGTCACAGCCGATCTTCATCTGCAAAAAAACCCCACTCACAGTCTGTGCGGCACGATACCGTACCAATTACAGAGGCAATGGTGGAATGTATGCCAAGACTCCAGAAAAAACACTTAAAAACTCTCAAATCTCCACAAATGAGAGTGTAAAAAATCTAAATGTCAAAGAGGCCTGCAGAACAGTGAAAATGTGTAACGCTAAGGGTGTGGTTCCAAAACGCTCCGTGATATGACATTTCTCCTCGTATGCCCACGAATGCAGTTGTCGGAGTTCCATGCTATGGTTTGTTCGTCCACACAGATCTATTCATGAAATTTCATGAGGGCCCAACGTTAAACAGGAAGCAAAAATATGAACTCAGAAAAGTTCAACGTTTTACAAAGGCCTCACAGTAAAGCCAATAAATGTCAAAAACTAAACAGAGGAAGCATTTGAACAGCAGATACCTTGAATAGCAATCAAACATCCTCCTTAGTGATTTCTCCATTCAGTGCACGGACTGTCCAGTGAGTTTCAAACTCCTCTGTTATATTTCGCTATCTTTCCAGCCATGCTTGAATGAAGAATAAACTCATTTAGCAGCGAACGCAAGTGCAAGACCAGACAATGGGTTCACAAAACAAACATTTCCCTGCAAAAAAACTCCCGCACTCCCACCTTTAGCTGCACAGACACTTGAATCAGGAAATAAGAGTTGCTCTTACTGAATTCATAGCTTTGAAAAAACTGCAAGAAAATTAGACCTGTACACATAGATCTGAGATGTCCAACCTTTCTACGGATAGTGATTACCCTGGGCAGGAGAACAGATGTTCCTTTTTCCATAATTGCACTGTGCTGCTTCTTTAATGAGCTACTTCAATCTGAACTTGTTCTACGGATAGTGATTACCCTGGGCAGGAGAACAGATGTTCCTTTTTCCATAATTGCACTGTGCTGCTTCTTTAATGAGCTACTTCAATCTGAACTTGCTTATTTAAAAGTGTATACAAATGACATGTACGTCATTTTACAGCCCTTAATTTATTCAGACATATTGACTTTATTCAGGGTAGACACCATTTAATTTTTCACAAATGAAAACGAGGCTGCAAGAGAAAAATGTATAGGCTGTTCTGTTTTAAGGTTGTACGTCAAGTTCATAACACATTTTCCAGAGTTTGTCAAGAGACAAACAATGTTGCATCAGCTGAATGATCAAGACTGAGCTACAGAACAATGCATTAAACGGACCTCCGTATAGTCTTCGTTTTCATTCAGGAAATATTAAATATGGCACCTACCCTAATATCTATATCTACCCTAAATAAGGTGCATAGACAGAACATATGACCACCTACACTTCTGGAATTTGAATAGAAACATTCATTCTGAATAATTAATTTTTAAGTTAATGATAAAATACAGATTTATAAAAAAAAATAAGAAAGCCTAACTCCATTTTTTAAATGTAGTTTCAGTGCATTTAATCTAATTTATTAGAAAACTGATACAAATATGCATATCATATTCAGTCAGGTGACAATTTTTTGCTTGTCTTATTGTAAATCAATAAGATTTCATAATCAGCTCTCAGTTCATAAGAAATATAAAATCAAGGAAAAAGATATTCTTAAACTAACATTAAAAAGCTAAATCAGGTAATAATGTGGTGTAGATTAAAGTAACTAATAAAGGAAAATCTGGTTTTAACGTTTCATAACCTCAGTCATTAGCTTAATTCTGGTAAGGCTGATAGGTAACGATATGGTACGTCATGGCTTAAAATGTTTCTTACTTGAAACAATTACTGGAGCAAGGAAATCCATTAAAACGGTTGCATAAACATGAGTTAAGGATGTTTGTCAACACTTGATTGCTTAATCCCATCCACAAATTAAAGGGCAAAAGACATCTGGTGATATGATGGAACTGATTCTGAAAATACCTTGTTTGCTTTTTCATTTGATATTTAATGGCCAGAATGACATTTCACAAAAACGTTTCACAACCTCTGAACAGTTCTTTAGATCTGATCAAATATCATCTTTTCAGCTTCTACAATTTTATTATAAATTATATCTGATATCAGTTCTGACACATCACCCTCACCACCGGTAAAAGTCACCTCTAACCTCATATCATATTTCATAACTTACCTTCAGCAGTCAGACGTAAGAAGAAATCCATTTAATGACATACTGTTGATACTGGTATGAAACGGAGGTCTTCACTCCAGATGTTAGGCTGTGTGTGAAAAGACAAAAGTGAGATAAAGCAGACACACACACATACAAAAAGGAAACAAGTAACCTAAAGGAAAAAAAGAGGCAAAACTCGTATAGTATCGCACCGTACAGGGTGGGGTCTTGAGGAATTTGCCATCACTCGCCTCACAGGCATCAGTGACGATGTATACGCGTTGTGTCATGGCCAAATCCATGTTTTACATCCAACTACCCAAATTCAAATTTTTGATCTTGGCCATCTCTCGTATAGCACAATCTCCTGTTGCTCCTGTTATTCGTATTTTAAACAGACCTAGACTACAAATCTCCGTGTATTAGGCTTTATCTTAAAGTGACAGTTCACTAAAAAAAAAAAAAAAATCTAAAATCTGTCCTTTACTAACACTCGTGTTTTACAAACCTGTATAACTTTCTATCTTCTGTAAAAACAAGAGAAAATGTGAGGCGGAATAGGAGGGCCATTCACCATTCACTTTGATTGGATCTTTTTTATATTCAGTGAAAGTGAATGGGGACTACGGCTGTGTAATATCGCTTTCTATACAAGCCATGCAGGTTTAAAACATCATGAAGGTGGGTAAATGATGACTAAATATTCATTTTAGGTTAATTATCCCTTTAAGGCCTATTCCTTGTCGTCTTACGAAAGTTGAAAATGAGCATACAGATATAGGCTAATGCAACTAAGAAAAACAAGCAAGCAAACTCGAAAAAAATACGTCAGGCGATATGAGTTTAATATACTGTAAATGAAAGCAGTGTAACGCCCGATGTTAATATCAGTTGCCCGTGTTAATACAGTGTTAATTCTCAGCGCTTCAGTCTGACATATTTAAATTTACTGGACTTAACAAATAGCGTCAACTCGATATTGGTGCGATATTGAGTTTTTCGACAAACACCTTTGAGCGAAAACTTCTGAATGAGGAATGTCCAACGCCTACTTACGTTACTTCACTGGTAGAATTCTCGATTTCTCTCGTCGATCGATTCGTATGTCACGCTGGTACGCGGTTCGACTCCCAGATACCACATAAAATTGGCGTAACATCCTTTATTTTCGCAATGGCTTTTTTCCTCATACTGCCTACATACTAGCCTACTGTCTACTAGCGGACGGCTCACGCCCTGTACGGCTCAACTCTGAACCGAGCGCTCTAGCGATCTATTCCAATGGAATGTAACGGATTCCATTCGTTCTAAAGTGGGTTCACACACTTCCGAAAAGTTAGAACTAATGTTGGAACGGTCATCGAACGATGTGTAACCGAACGCTTCCTGGATTTAACGCACGCGTATCAAATCCTCGCGAAAACCGTTAAAAACCTTACGATTCAATTCAGTCGCAGTTCTGGCGCACAAGGCAGCGCACATACGACATTTAAAAGCGGTTGGCTTATTGGAAACTCAAGTTCGATTCTGACCTGGTTCGTGTCCCGATCCCATTTCTTGCCCACTTTTAATGTATTGCACTACTCTAAATATCGAAGAATTTAATATAAGCTCTGCTACAATTTAGGTAATTCGTCCTTTTGCTGAAAGCCACACCTTAACCTCAAATCACTCCTGACATCAAAGAGCTAAAGCGCGACTCAGCTAAAATATCTAATCCTAACCTGCTCAAGACAACTCAACAGAGTGTTACAGAAATCATTAACAATATAATCACTCAACTTCAACACGACACCATTAGTCTTACGTCCTAAATTTCACAATCTAGCCCACATATCGCTGCGTCTTGAGTCTCCGCTTCAACTCCCCTCATACCGGCTTCTCTCCTCCCGATCAGCTGGCAGCGCAGTGACGCCAAGAGCAACAGCTGACCAATCAAACACTAACGTCAAAGAACAGAAGGAACGCCCACTTATGGCCGATCATGAATGTCAGGCCTGCACACCAATGCCATTCTCTTGAGTCAGACGGGTGTAACGCACACTGTCCAATGACGCGATCTCTCTCCGACTGGCGTTTCACGGCTCTTCTAAAGAGCAAATGACTGAGCACCTCTGTAAGAAGGACTGGATAACTGTTTTCAGACTCCTATTAAATCTTACTTCACTTTGATACAATTAAGACTCGTGCGTAATGTCTTTAAAATTTCCACAGACGCTGTTTTACTCTTGTTTTTGAGACATAACTCAAGCTGTGACCAGATGCTTTTTAGTAGGTCTATATTAACGTCCACATTATTTTCTGTCTTGTTAAAGCCACACTCAGTAATTTTTCCTCATTAAAAGGGTTTTACAATAAAAATATCTTTAAAAAGATGTACATTCACATATGAAGCCTTATCTGTAGCTTTATAAAAGCTGTTTTAGTTTACATGGAGGGTCTGCTTCTGGTGGCTGCCATGTTGAGGTCACATGACTAGCGAATGTCCCCTTTATTTCTCCCTATTATCGGATATTTGTGGAATTATTTAACATGGCTTCAATGCCAATTTCTACAATGGTATTAATAAATAGAATTAATCAGAATGAATTCAAGTTACACGGAACTGATGACAGGAGTCAGGTGAAAAACTCAGTAAGGGAAAATGCTGCATTTCGTTTTCTATAAAAATTATTCCTGAGGTTTCTGGTGAAATTTAAAGCTGACTGCCATTTATGCTATTGCTCATTTTGTGGACGGAAACCTTAATTGGTGGCTTGCTGAATCTAGAGGGATTTTTGAACAAAAATGCAAATTCCTGCCACTGACTGAGAGAAAACCGTAGAAAAATACAGGCTTTTATTCTACAATCAGAATTTTAGACCTTGCCATCCTTTGTTTTTGGCTACAAAAACAGGCCAAATGGAGGAAAAACAAGCAACATTGTGTTGTATGGAATTCAGGAGGAGGATAATTGGTATTATTACTTAGCGTTATTGTAGACATGAGTTTCAGAAACCCAAAAGCATCATAAATAACTTCACTGTATCCTTAGTAAATAATCACAGCAAGTAAACTTAAATGCTTGCGTGTGTGTTACCCAAAAAAATGTTGTTTCCTCATGTGCAGCAACTCAAGACTTTAAATGCCATTCCATTCATGATTCTTGTACTGCACAGTCAGGTCAAACAAATACTAATAAGTGCATGCATTTTATCATATACATCATAACTGAGGGCTTCAAGAGTGGGTCTTTTCCCACATGACTACAGTCCAACTGCCACAGTTCCACTGTTTTAAGGGCAGCGTCTCATTTCATTCCACTTTATTCCACATTCCCACACCACTAACTCTGGGATCAAGTCCGGCAGATTATTTTACTTAAAATTAATTGAACAAATTAATATATATATACATACTTTTAAAAAAAGGTCACCTAATAGAGTTTTAGTAAAAGTGGGAAATACCTAGTGAAGTTAATGCGTTCAGATCTGATTGGAGACTGCTTGGTTAGATATTGCGTTGGAGGTGGTGACATAAACACCTTGACACAGCGGTTTCCTGTCCTGTTCCCACATGGTTAACATTTCCTGAAAATCTATTGATTATGTAAACAAAGTGTTAGCAGCTTTGGGAGAAAGGTCATTACAACACAGTCACAATATTCCAATGTAAATGTCATACAAATTTGCTTTATCTCCACAAGTGCTATCTCTGAGACATCCTACATCCTGTTACTTAAGAGACTGCAGACATTAAGTATATCTGGTGTAAGTCCTGGAGGGCACTTTCTCTGCTTGATCCTGATTAGGTCAAATACACTAATGCGAGCTCCGGCCCACTGTCTGGGCGTGTTCCTATCTATTAGACACATCACAGTGTTAAGGGACTTAAAACAAACCTCTTCAATTTAGTTATTAAATGTCACCTAGTTTGTCCCCATGTGACAACATAAACACAATTTGGGAACATGTTCTGTTAGGTTTATGGTTAATGTTGCATTAATATACCTGGTGCACAGAACCGGTCTCTCCTAGGACACATTAATCCAGCTCTTAAATGGATTCCAGGAATCTATCGGCCCACTCCCAGGCAAGTGCCTTCCTGCATGAGTACAGCGATACACGTCCATGATGAGAACATATTATGTAAATGATCTCCTCTTGAAGAGGATCCTGTTTCTCTCAATGAGGCATCCTTTCTTAATATATAATATCAATTTATAAAATGCAATTTAATAATAGAAATGTGGCATTACTTTTCCCTTGAAAATTTCTTATGTCTATGGTAATTGTGCATTGATCATCTTTTCACAGTTCAATAGCAGTAACAATTAAAAAAAATTAAAATAATAATAGATTGCTTTTATCAGGTATCTTTGTAGAGCAATATTATTCCCTGTCCTGTTGTAATAGTACCCATCAGTACGCTAACACTGTACTTTTTATTTATATAAAAAAATTATTTTATAAAATATATTATAAAATTATTGATATTAAAAACATTTTAAAATATTTTTTAAAAGTAAAAAAAATTACAATAATATATATATACATAATATAAAAATTAAATATGTAACATTTTAAATTATACTAAATTAAAAGTTGAATTAAATTGATTAAAAAAACTATAAATACACACATTAAAACATCATATTTTTTAAAAGGGTCATATGATGCAATTTCAAATTTTCCTTTCTCTTTGCAAACGCGAGTTTTAAGCAGTGTAGAGTAGCGCTTGTTGTTTGTCGTTTCTCCGATCACAAATGCAGACATGGTTTTATGTTTACGCGGCGCGAAACGCAATGCAACGCAACGCGTAAAAAGACCGTATAAGTCATTATAATTAGTAATTATGTCCCCACTGGATGCAACAAATGCCTCGTTTGTAATGGGTTTTATTGGTTTTGTCTCGTCACTCCGGCCGGGACACGGCATCACAGTATGGTAGGGGCGTAACATTTCCGTCACACGCTTGAGGTATTCAGCCAATCACAACGCACTGGATAGCTGGCCAATCAGCGTACACCTCGCTTTTAAGACCGATGAGCTTTGTAAAAATCAACGCGTTTCAGAAAGGCGGGGCATAGAGGAGCAACAATAATGTACATTATGTGGAAAATAATGTGTTTTTTGAACCTTAAACCGCATAAACACATTGCATTACACCAAATACACAACATAATGTTCTTTTTAGCAACGTCATATGACCCCTTTTTTTAATTCTAATTTTATTCAACAAAGTAAATCAATTCCAAATGTTACAAATCCCTTTTTTATTTTTGTACTATTTTTTTTTACTTTATACTAATATATTATTTTATAATAATATATATTTTTGTATCCTCAACAAATTCTCAACTTGCAGGTGTGACAGTTTTGCAGACGTTGTGCATTCTAGTAATCAGTTTGTGAAAATATGCAGGTGAATTTTCATCACTTGTTTGCTGTAGCACTTCCCATGGGCGTGATTGGCTTTTAGGACGCATCTCACGGACCATGAGATGTTATGATCAAACAGTTCCACCAACACATCAAATTTACATTTATTCATCCATAATACTTGTCTAATCAACTGCCATTCAATATTCTTGTTTATTTAAGCCTTTTATAATTATTTGCCAGCGTCAGGCTTTTTCTTTGTAACAAAACCTAGAGAAAATGTAATTTAATGTAATGTTTAATTTCATATAATGTTTTACTTATCTAGATACCCCAACTTTTGACAGGCCCCACCCTGTTTACTGTGAAACAGCACCCAGTAGAATCAGAGTAAAGCCACTGTAACTTTAAGAGCTGCCTTTTGCAAAAGAGAACTGATTAGTGGTCCTGGCAGCCAACCACACAAGCGGCTGAGCGAAGACTCAAGCCAATGAGAAGGCCTGCTGGGCGGAGGTTACAAAACCAGCCTGAACTCAATGACTCAGCACAGGCAAGTGCGTGCGAGATGACACTTAACAGCAATTTAAAGAGCCAGCGCTCACCATGCAAAAGTAGGTGAGGGTAAAATACGCACTCTTGAATCCCAGCAGCAGTTCCCCTCCCTGCGAGCAGGACTGTGAACGTTGATCGATGTGACACGGCTGAGCACAACTTTCAGTTTTTGCCCATTTTCTGAAAGGACCACACCTACACACTCATAATAGACGCAGCATGACTCAGCACTGGCCATCATGTCACATAACCGCACATGACTGACAATGACAGTCATGATTAACGCTGGCTAAACAAAAATAATGGTTTGTGATAAAGCCACACTAAGACAGAAATGCCAAACACGACAATTATGCATTGCTCAGCAAAATATACATCTCACGTTTGTTTCACATCACCATAAATATTCAAACAATCACAGGCATAAGAAAAAGCTCTTTCATTTTCAGACGAGTGAATATGTGGGGATCTGAGCCACATCCTGGATGTTGTTCTAAACTGGATAGTTGCAACAGCCAGAAAGGCAATACCTCAGTGACAAGGCACTAGCTATATTTACATAATGTGCTGTTAACCTCAGAGTACATACTTCTCAAGCTGACGGCAGGAGTTCTAGAACAGACTCTTTGTTTAAAGGTAAGGCTGGACTTTACAGGTTCCTGATCTCGCAGGATGTGATGAGAATTGTTGGTTATCTGAATGATACACGCATTGCACCTTCTATAATGAAGAGATTAAACAAGCTCATATTAATTTACAGTGTAAAAACAGAATGTCATGAGCATATTAATTTAACATCCAAGCATGAAAAGCAGTTGTGATCATCATTTAGAGCAAACACGCAATGCATTATCGTGTTTTTCCACCCTTTTACATGCTGAGACGATGTTTGCAGGAAATCTCTTTGACAACAGGGAACTCTGAAAATTCTTCAGAATAGGAGGTGTGATGAATCACCAACACAT